CCCGGCAGGCAGCTAAACACCACATAGCCATTTGCTCACTGCCCCTGCCCCCAGTAGGATGGGGGAGAGAATGAGGGGAAAAAAAGGTAAAATTGGTGGGTTGAGGTAAAGACAGTTTAATAGGACAGAAAGGAAGGGATAATAATAATAATAATAATAATAATAATAGAATATACAAAATAAGTGATGCACAATGCAATTGCTCACCACCCGCTGACCGATGCCCAGCCAGTCCCTGAGCAGCGGTCACCCCTCCCCCGGCTAACTCCCCCCAGTTTATATACTGAGCATGACGTGACATGGTATGGGATATCCCTTTGGCCAGTTTGGGTCAGCTGTCCTGGCTGGGCCCCTTCCCAGCTTCTCGCTGGCAGGGCATGAGGAGCTGAAAAGTCCTTGACTAGTGTAAGCACTACTTAGCAACAACTAAAAGATCAGTGTGTTCTCAACATTATTCTCACCCTAAATCCAAAGCCCAGTGCTATACCAGCTACTAGGAAGGAAATTAACTCTATCCCAGCCGAAACCAGAACACAGCCCTATAATTCAGTGTTCTTCTTTGTTTGAAGGTGTGGCTGAAAGAAACATAAAAGACTGTAAACTGCAGTATAGAAATGCTTGTTTGTATTTAAAAATATTTTTAAACTGTAAAGGCATGTTGGAAGTTTCTCCCTCTTCCCCTAGCCAAATTACTTTGTCAGGCAGTATGTAAAGGCAGAAAGTCCTTTTTTTTAAATTCTTTTTTTTAAGTGTCGGATAAGATTTATGTGCAAGAGAATTGAGCGCTATATTAAAGACTGTGTTACTATCCATCATTTTTAAAGTGGTGTGAAGAAAAAAAACACTGTGTGTATGTGTGGCTATATTTGCAAAATTGTTAAAGGAGCCAAATTCAAATGTAGTGCATAATGCCAGGGATGACTGTTTGGAGTTACTTCCCCCCCCCCTCTTTTTCTTGGGTCATTGGTCAGTAGTGAGCAAAGGTCTGTTGCTGTCTGACAGGTATTCACTGGCTTATGTTAAATATTTATAGGTATTTCCGTCAGTAGTTTCAGATGTTCATCTGTAGCTAAAAGTAAGGTGCTCTTCCACCTTCTGTCCCAAAAATGTTCTTGCAAATTTTAACAAAGTCTAAGTGGAGAAGGGTGAGGTCTGTGATCCCATCCCGTTGAATCTTTCACTCTCTGGTCTGTTGTGATTTATGGTGCTTTTTTTCCCCCTATGTAATAAAGGTAGGCACTTCCCGCTTGGCACTCTCAGATCAATCTTCTTCACCTTTCATCCTACCTTCTGGTGGTATCGTTGTCAATAGTCGCACTTGCTTTTGGTCAGAGGAAAAAGGAATGTGGGGACAGTTTGTTATGTCTATGGGGGTTTGGATTGCGCTCAGATTGTACATGCACTCTTCCCTGTGACAGATGGATGTAAAACAAATAGCTTATCATGCTGCAGAGGCTCAAGAATACCTACCGGAAACTGGACGTCACCAGAGGTGGACAGAGCTCCAGAAAGATTGTCTGATATTGGGCAGTCAATTAGAGACTTGAATGAAGCACTGTCTGTTATTTAGTATTACAAATAGTTGCACTGAGAGAGGGTAGGAGAAACAAACAGTTTCCACTGTTGTGGGTTGTTGCAGAGGCAAGACAAGATGAGGCAGCAGAAAGGTATAGACCTCTGCATCTTTCCCTCCTGTTACTCATGGCTCAGAAATCTCTCTTCATCAGTACTTTGGAATCAGTTTTGAATAGTGTGAGCGAAGGAAGTAAAGTCTGGCAGTTACAGTGCCTTTTTAAGGCTTCACCTAGAATCAAAAGAAACTGTTGAAGAAGTTGAGTCTAGAGACACTGAATTTGGCTAATTTTCAGAGAGTTGTTCCGTGTTGCACAGGTAAATGATATGAGCTTTATTGTCTGCTGAAGTAACTTGTCTTAAATTTCTAAGTGAATTCTGTGTTTGTTCTATGAATATTGATAAGAAGTTGCCAGGTGGAAAAATGAATCACCTTTCTCCTTGCATAGATTTCTCCCCTTTCTTCAAAAAATACATGCTTACAGGTTCACGAAGCCAGTCCTCCATTGTTAGTTTTATCATCTTTCAACCATATGGTATGTTCTCTTATATATGCCAAAGAAATGGTACCAAGTCCAGGTGTATCCTCTTGGCTGGCTTTCTTTAAGCCCAGTAGAGCACTTTTGAAAATCAAATATTTCTTCTTCTATCCACATTTAACTGAGAGCTTTAATGGAGGTCTTGCCAAAACCTTTAAAACTGGGAACAATTTAAATTACAGTTGTATAGAACCTCTAAGCCCAGGAAATGAATAATTGCTGGAGCCTACTTCTGTGACATAGCTTGGTTGTTTTAGTTTAACAGAAGTATAATAGAAGCTTTGCATTAAGGAGCAAGTCTATACTTAGCTCATTGTAATGCTCTTAGCATGCTTAAAAGTGGCTGTTTTATTTTGGTTTCTAAAATTCTTTGTTTAAAGTTTCTTCCAAAACCCCTGTCTCGAGTATAAAGGGTTTTGTCACATTAAGTCATTTATATGACTGACAAATAAAATTCAACATAGAATTGCAATCCCAGAGAAATGCTTTTAAAGGAAATAAATCTGAGCAGGAAGATTTAGTATAGGCATTGTAATGCCTTTCCTGCAGCTACCGGGAGCCGGGTTTAGACTACAGACTGCTAGAATCCTGGTGTTGTGGCTGTAAACACTGATTAGTGAGACTGAGTTCTTCCCAGGTGTTGAAATTACATGTGCTATTGCAGTGTTAGGAGTTGTTCAAATCCATCATAAAAAGGGACTTTATAAATAGAAGTGTTTCGGAGAGGTTTGGGCAAATCATGTTCCTTTTAACTAACTCAGTCCAGTGGTTGGATGGCCTTTATTGAAAGTCAGTTTTCTTAAAAAAAAAAAAAAATAAAATAAAATTGCATCTGAGCAGTAGCCGTAGATACTTCAGTTTAAATACAATTTCCTGCAAACGTGAGTTCTTGGTTTTCTTTCTTTTAAACGGCCATTAAGAAGTACCTCTCAGAACCATTGACTGAATGCGTTCTGAAGCTCCTTGATTCATTCAATATATGAATGACTATTACACATTTGTTTAACATGTAGGGGAAAAAAATCATTCTACCAAAGCATACTTGAGGAACCTTTTGCATTGCTTGAATGGTTGCTGTCTTCAAAATAAAAATAGAGGGAGCTTAATTTTGGCCCTACAATTGGCTATTTACGGGTTTTTTGCTATTGCACTCTTTTCCCAAACTATGTATCTGCAGTCTTCAGGTATATCAGTAGTTTAAAAAATGTTTTATTTTCTTCCAAAACTGTGGGAAACTTACATTACTTTCTTCTGCAGCGCACCAGAAGTGCAGAAGCTGTAGCAGCGAATCAGGGTTGTGGTTCATCAAGTAGGATGTATCAGTTTCTCAAGTTACTTTTCCTGTTTAAAAGTTTGAAGCTATTGCTATTTTAGACCAATTGGAGTTTGGACCAGCTTCTTCATATAGTAGCGTACAAAAGTTCCAATTGATTATAGTTTAATAGGCTAATCCTGCAAATGGTCGGATGCATGCATAGCTATATTCATGTTGATAGTTCTTTTAAGTATAAAACAGGACGTGTGGAAATAGCAGTTGCTAGTAAACAAGGGGAAAGATCACAGGAATGGCTATTAGGCACCTTGTTGGTTTGATAGCATGTGAGTTTCAGAGATAAAACTCACAAAAACATCCTACGAGACGTCAAGTGGTAGTGAGAATGATGGGGTAAAAGAGCAGGACTGAAAAAGAAAGAGAGAGATCAAAACAGAGAAATGGGGGAGTTGAGAGAGAAGCACAGCAAGTAGAGAAACTAAAATTAAACTTAAAATACCAAGAGAGAACTAGGAACGCTCACTTGATGCATTGGCCTCAAACCCAGGGAGTACGTGTAAGGGTAGCTTAGAAATATTGACTCATGGGGCTTTACCAAGTCATGCTTAGAAGATCTGAAGTTTCTTTTTCCATTTCTTTTTATACCCTTCAGATTTATGGCAATGGATGACACACCTAGCTGTCCAGAGGCAATGTCTTGAAAGGCTGTGCATTAGCCACTATGATTGTAACTCTTTTAGGAGAGATGTCATTGGAAGGCTTTTCCTGTGCTGGGTCAATGTTTGTGTATTCGTGAGATACTGTTAGGGGAAAAAGTATAATAAATTGATCTGTAGTAGTTGCTCATTTTCAGATATCATAGATAGGGAAGGAGGAGATTGCATTACTTTTTGATTAGTGATCAAGCTGATGGAATTTAATTATGAAATTATAGATCAGACTGCTCATCTTGCTAACTTAGTAGGTTAATGTAAATGATAACTTTTAACCTGGATTATTTGGAGTGGGGGTGTTTGTTTTGAATCTCTAGCTTTCACCTCTATTTTTCTATAAGTCTGCGTACTAGCTAACAACACAAGTCAGGTCATGTTTGAAGTTTTGTGCTACTAGATATCCATGGTACAGCTCCGTATAGGGGCAGGGACTGGCTGGCATCCTCTTTACTGGCTAGGAATCTGCTCTAAACACTATTAGGGAATATAATTATATCATCATTATTTCTCAGCTATGCCTTTGTCTAATTATATGCAAGTTTAAAAACTATTATTTTGGCAACTTTGTATAAGTATTGTCAAAGTACTCTGCGTTTTGCTCGTCCCAGCAGCCGAGATATCAGAACTAGTGTAGACGTTTTCACTTTGTTTTGTTTGTGGTTTGTGTGGTGTTCTGGGAGTGTGTATGCACATATGCTGTATGTATTTCCTACTATTAAAGATAAAGGAACCCTGGTGACTTCTGTTATTCTCTCTCTAATGAAGCATGAAGTCTGGGTACCAACAACAATAAAAGTAAATATTGTTGGCAGATAAGGAGTAAGTCTAGGGTTTCTTTTCAATCACTGCTTACACTTCTCTCCATAGGCACTAACTTTTCACTGCTATTTGCTCCTTTTCTAGGCAAATCTTGCTCAACTACTGAGTGAGGCTCAAGATCGAAATAAACATCTTGGAGAAGAGATTAGAGAGCTTCAACAGAGACTGGGAGAAGTGCAAGGGGACAATAAGGTATTACAAACTTTTGTTGTCAGTAAATGGCATGGAATGTGTAAACTGGGCTGGAGTTTTGCATTTACTTCTTAGGAAAACAAATAAAATAATGGGTTGCAGAACTTCTAGAATAGTTGAATTAAAATAAATGCTGAAAACAGTAGAACGGAAGAAGCTTGTATAGGATACCAGTAAGTGCAGTTTATTATATATTTTTTATGCTGCTTTTGCTCTATTGTCCTTAACTATGTATTTTGCACCTAGCCTTGCTTTAATGATCTCAGACTTACTTTTTTTTTTTTTAATGTATTTTATTGGTGGTATTTCCTCTTACAAATAAGTACAGATAAGCATTTCTTCTTTGTCATGTGATAATTTTCAATTTTTTTCCAATGAAAACGCAAAATTTTAGTAGATGATAAAACCAGGGGAGGCATAATTTTTCCCTTCAAAAATATGGAGCAGGTGATCACAAATATAGGTAGTGAGCTTTGTGTTAGGCCCTCATCCTATTACCCTTACATAACTAATTTATTTTATTGCTAAATTTAGCAACTTATATGGAACATTGCTCAAAATCTGCCATTTGGTATTAATCAAACTCCTGTTGTCTCTGTTAATTGAAATATTTAAACTCAAGCCAAATGTGTGTAACATTCACAGCTGGAACTGTATGCAAAAGTACATTCAGAGATCGAACTAGTGAGAGGTTGAATTTGAGAGTCGAGGTGGTTAACGAAGTAAAAAATGAAACAAATAATGAATGATAACTTCCCTCCCCAACTATGGTTTTAAAGTTATGGGATTTAAAAATGTGAATAAAAATGATGCCGCTTTTAATTATTCAGGTGGCTTTTTTCTTTCCATTTAAGTTCATTTTATTTTATTTATTTTATTTTAAACATAAGTGTATTGTGACAATGCAGTTTTATTCATTGTTTATCACAAAGGACTTCCTTGAAGGTGTCTAGGGAGCTGGGAAAGGGTCAAGTGAGACCTGAATTTGTAGTATGCATAGCATCCAGTGTAACTTGCTCAAGTCTCCAAAGACCAGCTTCCCCAGTGTTTCTTTTCATTTACATGTTATTGTTTCAATGATATTACAGTACGGAAGGCAGTGCCTTCCAGTACTCCAGTACCAGTATCATGCCATACAGCCTTTCCCAAGCCAGTCCTGAACAAATAACAAGGCTTTGTTAGTACAAACAGAACACAAAGGTAGTAAAACTACAATATATTTAAATATCAAGGTTATGTACCTATTCTAATTCCTTATAACAATATGATCTTGGTAACACAGAGCCGCCTACTTTGTGCTTGAACTGGCTTTGTTTAGATTTGCCTTTGTGGGTTAACTTGATATTAGCTGGCCATCTTTGTGACATCTGTATTCTCGGCATGAATTTGAATTCGTGACCCTCATAAGGAATGGAAAAATACAAAAAGAGTTATTCTGCCCACTGTGCCCCTCTCCAAAAGGTGCAAAATAGTGCATCACTAAATAAAGAGGGGGAGGAAAGAACTGCAGCAGACAGGGATTAATTTAGACTAGGATTTTCATTTTTGGAACACATTCTTCACTTTCCTAGTAAATGAGAAATAGAGCTTATTTTAGAGTCAGGTTGCTGTTTTTTGAAGTGCCTAAAAAAGCATTGCCATCTATCTGAGGGATTTAACGCTCTCCTCCTGTGTCAGATTTTGCTCCCTTCTAGCTTTGGTGATAAAATTCTAGGCTTGTTCCCAAAGCCATTCTGTTCTGTTCATCAGTTCTCCTGTACTGGCAGCTGGGTTACTTCAGGCACTGGAGTCCAGATAATGCATGGTATATACAAAAACAAAGAACTATAATAATTTGCTTGTTCTTACATTTTTCCCCTGTATTCTTCTCTCTGCTTTTTCCAAAGTGAGGGAGGGCATCCTGCCCAGCTGGTCTACGTCAACCTTACTTCTGGCAAGAGATGAACAAACAGCTGCTTTTGCAGCAAGTGAAGCTGCTTATGGATGAACAATTCTGCCTGTGTCTGAGCAGGGGTGACTCATGCAGGCTTTGTCACTGATTGGCAAGAGCTTTGTAGGACTAAAAAAGAAAAAAACTCTTTAAATATCACACATTAGCTCTATTGATAAAGAATTGTTTTGATAGCTTGACTTGTTTTTCACCGCTTTAATGTTTGCTACTAGCAGAATACGGTCACTTGGATTAGCAAGACCTTAAACTGGTGACATTTTACTTGTTGAAATCATGTTAAGTATGTCATCAGTTAGGCAATAACAAATTACTTGCATTTCGTTTAACTGGACTAATTTTTTCCTTTAATTTCAGCTAGAATTCTGTTGGCACGAATAATAAAACTTGTTCAGGCGGTCTCTGAAAGGATTTGTTGCTGCAGTTTTAGAAATACAGCAATAGTTAGACTGCAGTGCTCCAGCAACAGATATCTAAGACTATTTATTTTATGATTGATCACAATCTCTTATCAGCTCTGACACATGAAAACTATTCTATGTTTATGATAGTTATTTGTAAATCTTTTTCCTTCCTAACATTCTGGCAGCAATGCTTGGAGAACAATTACTGAAACTTAGAGGAGGATAGTTAGGAAATAGAATTCTCTCTTGTAAAAGGGTGAAAATGGAAAGCGTAAGAAAAACTGGAGGCTTCTGGAAGACTAGATGACTCAGTTGCCTTCACTTGAATTCCTGCGCAGGCAAACAAATGGTTTTGTAAGCTGTCAAAGGCAGTGCTAAGCGAGAGGAAGATGCATGGAAAACAATGGCTGCAGTATTACTGACAGTTTGTTATTATAAGGCAGACAATCATTCATGCAGCAACAGTGCGAAATGTTAAATGTGGTGCATATGTTTTGGCAGAACTGGGACTTAAGGTAGCAAATTTGCATAGTTCTGGTCCACTTTTTAAGATTTTGTAGGCAACGTGGTGAAGACAATTGCTGTCAGTGACTGTGGCTAAACATGATGGTTTCTGCCTTCCATGAAGGATTTACTGGTTGTGCTTGTTTCCCTTTTCCTTCTGCATGTTTTATCGATAATCAGGAATGTACAACTTTGGCACAGGCATTGTCTGTGGACTCCTAGCCTGCACAGCAGCTACCGCAATGAAGCCTGTTTGGGCATTGTGGGGCTGCTACAGAGTTGCTACTTTATAAATAATTATTTTAGCTGACACTGATTAATAAAAAGCTGTGATATTCAAATAATAAAGACTAGTGGCTTGCAGCACTGGATTGTTTTGATTAGCAATCTATGGGTTCTTGACAAACAGGAGCTATCTCTGGTAAGGTGCCATTAATTTAAACCCATTCTGCTGTGGATGCTGTTCACGGAATCCTGAGGGGTAGCGTTAACCTGTTCTCTAGCTGCAAAATGAAGTTAAGCAGTCCTTTCCTCGGCGATTTCTGAATGACAGAAATAAAAATGCAGCAGCCAGAGGACAGGTGTATAAAGTTTATAACAAAGCACTAATATATGAAATAAACCCTTAACCCTCTGGCTTAACACTTAGTGTCTCTTTGGGTCACAGCATTTTCAGGGAAGAATTTTATAGCAGGTGGTGCTGCCTCATGAGACATTCGCAATGCAGAACTAAAGGACTTGGCCTGTTCTGCCCTGTCAACGCTCTGATTGGCCAACTGTCTGGAAGAAGCACTCTGTTGTTTTATGGATTGGTATTTTACTTTATTTTATGTATGTTCATAATGCTGCTTTTACTGGCTGAATTTGGATTTCTGAAGCATTCTTTTCATAAGACTTCATATGTGTTTTTTTTCACCTCAAACTTAGTAGTAAATAAAGAGTTCTCCTTTTATTGGCAGACTGTTTGACCTTGCAAGTAATAATTGCTTGCAGTTATAATTGCTCTTATGCCTCGTCCCCTCCTGGGCTGAAGTTGAGTTGGTCATAGTGCATGAGTCACAGCTCTGATCCAGTTTGCAGCCTGGTGCCGAGGGTTACGCAGAAGTTTTGCTCTGCTGCAGGCATTGGAGGCATTCGTAAAGTGTGATACCCCTTCCCATTTCCAGTTTTTCTGAACAATTTCTCAATTGTTTCTGAACAATTGAGTCCTCAAAATGTTATTACATTTGTTTCTTACTGCCTTTCTCACTAGCAAGAGATTCTAGAAATTAAATTAATCTAACTGAATTAAATCAAATCACGTTACCATACCTTTGTTCATCAGCCTTTTAGCATTTAAAAAAAACCAGTCCCATAGCTATGAAGCCATTCCAGGATTTGCTAGTTGCCTTTTTGACTTATTTGTTTTGATAAAGAAATTAATAGGAATTATATCTCTTAGGACCCATTCAGCCTTACTAACTGTGCAGTGGTTTGTACTTTCCCTGTGGGGATAGGGAAATGTAGTTTGCTAAAACCAGTTACTTTTGGGGGCGCAGCTTCCCCTGAACAAGTGAACTGCTTATCAGAACAAGTTGTACTAGCTTCAGTGACTTGCACTGAACTGGAGCTGAAATAAGTGGGGAGCATGATTTTGGTAGTCTGTCTTGCATCAGCAGGATTTTAATTGGCACATTGCAGCTATGGTGACTGGCATCCCATAAATACCAAAGACAGATTTTAATGTACAATCTTCTACTTCAGAAGATTGATTTTTTTTTTTCTAACTCTGCAATATAATGATGTACATTAATTCCTTGGTGCAGTCAAAGATATGGGGAAAGTCAAGCTGTTTATTGTGGTATGTTTCTCTAGTCTCTGTGGAGCTCCTACAAATGAGGCCGTGGGCAGGCAACACTTTTGCCTAGTTGTACTCAGCATAAACAACTGTAAATGCTGAATGCCTCATAGACTGTTACTTTAATATTCCGTGATTCTTGAGAGGTAGCTGCTTTTTGCTTTGGATATTGAATATAACTGTGTATTAATTCAACTCAGACTGTTTTCAGCAGTCACAAAGCTCATGAATTCACTAGCTGTTTGAGCATTTTGGCCAAGTCTTTTTGTTGTTGGCCCGGTTTTTTGCTTTTAATATGAATTAACTTCTGTGAGTAGATGAAAAAAATAATGCACAAGCAAATGTATTAGCAACTGTTAATGCAAATTCTTCACTGAAATAGCGCAGTGGGGTTTTAAGTGGCATCAGTAAAATGAAGCTGGGCAAGCTACTTTGTGCCTTTTTATTCTTAACTAGGAAGAGTTCTCTGCTGCAGAGTATTTTAAGATTTACATACGAAAATGGCTTTCTGAGAATTCTTGAGTTTTAGTCTGACCAGAAATAGTTCCTGTCAGTCCTAAAAAAACATCGACCACGTGTCTGTTTACTTGGTCTTTTATCATTTGTATACTCTGGTAACTGTTGTTGCAGGGTCTAATTCAGCTCCTGTTGATGCTTTGAGTGTTCGACTGGAATGTTTTGCTGAGAATGGGATTGAGCCCTCAGCTCAGAAAATTCCCTCTGGTTTAAATAATATGGGCTGTTTGGCCTGGAAGAGATGAAATCGATGACAACTTTACTCTTTTTAGTGCAGATGTACTCTGATGCTACAACCTGCGTTCTGCTTACAGAATCCATTTTTGTAATTGCAGCTTCTTCGAATGACAATAGCAAAGCAAAGACTTGGAGATGATGAAGTTGGGGCTCGCCACTTTGCAGCACATGAACGGGAGGACCTTGTTCAACAATTGGAGAAGGCTCGAGAGCAAGTAATAACTAAATGGGCATATACTGTCATGTTTTACAGAGCTAGTGCAGTAGCAAGTAAATGACTGCCTCTGTTGTGTTTGGAGGGCTGGTAGCTGATTAACATTGCAAATAGTGGTGAAGGTGTTGGGATTTTTACTGAAATAGTTCTTATTGAGCACTAATTTAAACATGCATACACGGTTAGAGTGAGTTTCCTAATCTTAGGAATTCCTTCTCTAGGTTATTGATTCTCCTCTTTTTATAATGTGCAGCAACAACTTGTGACAATTGAATATTGTCAGTGAATGTCAATGAAAGAGACTCCTTAGTGAAAGCTGTTACAAGTATTCAACACAATATGTGGTGGCTGATGCATCTCCTAAAGATACCTTCTGAATCAAATTTTCTGTAGAAGTGTTGTTAGTCTCCTCTTCCTCCTGCCTCTTGGCTATTTCTTCCCCTCTTTTGAAAAATTCTTGCATCAGACCTTTTTTCCCTACCTCAAGTCTGTATTAATTACTCCAGAGTGTCCAGCACTACACCTGTGTTACGGATGGAGTGAGCCTGCACTTCACTCATAAGAGAAGCAACAATACTTTATTGTTGAAAACAGTGAGTTAAAGTGTGAATTAACAAAGTTCAATGGTAAATGCGACAGTGAACAAGATTCGATGGCAAGGTACACTTGATTATTTACTGCATAGGGGACAGGGTCAGACATTACTGTCAGGGAGACCCTCCCGTTGAGCCATGAGGTTCACAAAGGACCCCCTTGCTTTCTGAACTTCTCAGAGAGGAGTTTAGGTGCGGCTGGATCCAATCCTAGTCCCAGTCTTGGTCAACAGTTTATGTCTAAAGGATTATATATGTGCAATCAATCCTTTATATCACTTAGCTAAGATTTCAAAGTTTAGCATGCTGTTAGTCACTTACCGAGTATCTATTGCAGCAAGGCATCTCTCAACCTCGAGGAGTAACCTTGAGAGGCATCTCTACTCAAGGGGAGATCCTGGCGTGCAGCCTGCTGCCATGCAGGAGAGCTAAAAGGGCTCTTGGGCTGCTCACTATTTATAGGGGTAAGATGATTGACTCATAGTCATATTTACATACTTATAACTGTGGTTAGGTGGGCGTATTTCTCAAAATAACCAAGGGCTATTGTGTTGTTATCTGGCTCCCCAAATCCACTTCGTTAATGGACGAAGTTTCACCATAAGCATCCATTAACGACTACCCCTGGTAGTTATCACTTAAGCAGGGTTACAGGAGATAAAGGTCAGGTTGGGCGGGGGAGCACACCGTCACATACTGATACATAGCTTTCTGGATAATTCTGGGGGTTCATGTTCTCTGTTATTCCCACACTCATTCTTACCAATGTCAGTTCCACCCTGAATGAGCCACTCTGTGGTCCAGGAAGACGTGCATATTTCTTGTTTTTCAGTCTTCACGCAAGTGCAGTGCTACTTTAGCTTACCAGAAGGACTGTTGACTGCACTTGGTCTTCTTCCAATGTGATTCTCTCTAGTATCTCTGTTCCCAAGCTCACACTCTCTCTGTTCATCACCTGGCCTCTTTTCACATGGTCTTCTGTTGTCCTTCCTGGCTTACCAGTGTTTTCTGAGGTGCCAGTGGAGACTTCTCAGCTCATTGCAGACTTTTCTCACACTCTCCGTTTCCTCTCCTTAGAAGTTTGAAGCTCTTTGTCCTTGAATATCTTTCATACTGGACTCCTTCACCCTTTTGCTTAATAGCAAAGCTTACCCTGTCAACTCCATGCTGGCTTATTTTGTACTTTTCTCAGTTCTTCCTATTCTGTGGAACTTCATTGCTGAAAGTCCCGTAATTAATATAAATTCCCCCTTACAGACTTTTTCTTCATCCTCCAAATTTGCCAAATTCTTACTCAGTTGAGTTCATTCCTGGAGTCCTAGTGTCCTGGTTTCGGCTGGGATAGAGTTAATTTCCTTCCTAGTAGCTGGTACAGTGCCGTGTTTCAGATTTAGTGTGAGAATAATGTTGATAACACACCGATGTTTTAGTTGTTGCTAAGTAGTGTCTACACTAGTCAAGGACTTTTCAGCTTCCCATGCTCTACTGACTGAGAAGGCTGGAGGTGCGCAAGAAGCTGGGAGGGGGCACAGCCAGGACAGCTGACCCAAACTGGCCAAAGGGACATTCCATACCATGTGACATCATGCTTAGTACATAAACTGGGGGAAAGCTGGCTGGGGGTGCTGCTGCTTGGGGACTGGCTGGGTATCGTTCGGCAGGTGGTGAGCAACTGCATTGTGCATCACTTGCTTTGTATATTATCATTATTATTATTATTATTATTATCATTTTATTGTATTTCAATTATTAAACTGTTTTTATCTCAACCCACGAGTTTTCTCACTTTTACTCTTCCAATTCTCTCCCCTATCCCACTGCAGAGTGGGGAGTGAGCGGGCGGCTGTGTGGTGTTTAGTTGCTGACTGAGGTTAAACCACGACACCTAGAAATTATATTCTAAAACCAGCTTAATATATTTGTAGCAGAATTGTAGTATGGATTAAGGTTTCTTTTGCTGTTACAGTTCAGTTGTTTTCTAGAAATTTTGTAAAACAAGTCTAACTGCTGAAGTTACTTAACTTCAAATTAATGAAGTAATACCAAAATAGAGTAAAAGTACTGGGAGTTATGAGCTTTGGAAAGACTTTTGACTGTCCAAAACCAATCCTGTTCAGACATGCAGTGCTTGTTGCTATTTTCAGTTTGGGCGCTATGTAACATTTTGTTTAAACTTCAAAATAGTCATACAGCTCTCCTTTCTTCTCAGATCGAGACTCTGAGATATGATCTTCAGGCTGCACTGGATGAGTTACAGGATGTGAAAGAGGAACGCTCTTTTTACCAAAATAAGTCTGACAGACTAAACCAAGAACTTAATCATGTCTTAGGAGGGCATGAAAACCGTATCATCGACGTAGATGCTCTATGTATGGAGAACAGGTGAGTGCATTGCAAACCTTACTGTTTCCCTAGAACAAGTAGGGTATTCCTTTAACAGGAGCATCAGGAAGTCAGTCACAACAAAACTTTAAAGAAAATGTATCCAAGAATAAAAGTTAAGAGATTTGGGTAATTTTTGTCTGTTTTGTTTGTACTGTAGCTAACCATCAAATAATATTGAGAAAGTTAGGCTGCAGGAAATTACCAATGTTTTATTTGGCTACAGAGATGTCAGTGATATTCCCAAATAGAGCTAAACAAGGAAAAGGAAGAGAAGTGCAGACTTTTTATTCCCATCACTGTGTGGCACCAAAACAAGAATATTAAAAACCAATGTCTTCAGAAACTCACAGGAGCTGTAATGGGCTAACCTTGGATTGGAAACAGGGACTTTGAGTACCCTGAGTTAGCAGTTTCAGACATAATTCTCACCACAGGGAGAGGTTGTCAACATGGAGTGATTTGCCAACAAAAGTGGCTGCTGAAATCACCCATGTAGATATTCTTGCCGCTTCCTTGGGAAAAGAATGTGTTTTATGGTCTCTGCTAAGGACAACAGAGAGGAGTCACTGACAGAGCCATAGCAGATACCTCCCTTAATGTCAACAATTATCTTAAAGTGAAATAGATCTTGTAAGACACTTTCCATTTACAGAGACTTATGCTTCAGGTAGGAAAGTGTAATACCAAAGGCATTACTTCCTCCCAGCAGCTCCAGGGTTTTTTTTCTGTTCTGCGTGGCCTACAGAGTTCTGTATCAATTTAAGCCCCCTGCTCCCCTGACAGCGATAGGATTTTTTTCTCTAAAATAGTTAAATTGTCACAAACCCTAATACAGCTGCAGTTGCACTACATAAAGGAGGATAGTTTATAAACCCTTTATACATGAAAAAGATATTTTCCTATGTTGAAATAGCCGTCTAATCCAAGTCTATAAACTCTTCTAGAAGAACCATACTGTTTCAGTTAACTGTATACCATTTTTCAACTATACTGTTAAATTTTCTACTTTGTGATTGCTAATGAGAAGTGCCATGTAAGTACTGGATATTGCAATGCAAAAGTTCTGCATAGTTGAGTCTTGTGTTGACATATATACAAATCTTCATGTGTCCATCTCACAAACCTTCAAGTACAGAGGACATGAGTAAATGCTTCCTGACTATTTCTTCTAGACATAAATATATCCTTTTAGCTTCCCTCTCCAAAAACCTGAGGACCTATATAAAAATGGTTGTCAGCATGCTTGACAAATCTAACAGAAGGGCAGCCTCCTTTTCTGATGTAATTTGTTTCCCTACTTAAAGTTTTATAGGGTCAAGAGCAGTAAGATTTTGTTATTTTATCCCTCACAAAACTGCAGAGGGAAAAGAACTCTCAGTAGTTCAAAGAGAGGACATGCCAAATAGTAAAGAGGAGTGCTTGAGGCCATACTTGAAGGTAACATGAAGTAAAGGATTACATTTCTTTTTCAGGTATCTTCAAGAGAGATTAAAACAACTTCAAGAGGAAGTCAATCTTCTTAAATCTAATATTACTAAATATAAGGTAAGATCCTCTTAGTGTATCATCTAAACTGTGCTTTGTTGTTCATGGAGATTATTGTTCATTCTCATGTTCATATGCACTTAAAGAACAAAATTGTGTCTTCAAAGAAAAATCCACCATTAACATTCTGACGATATTAGTATGTATGCATATTACATGCTTAGTCTTCCTTGTAGGCTTCTTAGCTGATGTAGTACAAAGGGATACCCATTAAGAGTATTTTGAAAAAGGAATTAAATACCTTTTTTTAGGTTCTGTGGGGGGACCCTCCTCCTGCTGGGGAGGGCGATCAGCCTTCCAGCCCACTGGTAGGTGAAAAGTAGCAGGTCATGCAGTGTGTGGTGAATGACTGCAACTGTGTTGTCATCACAAGCAGGTCTTGTCTCCCTGTTCCCTAATGGCCACACTGTTTCTTCATGTGTCGTACTTCATTGTTCTTCCATTCCTGGGTGAAGATATATGCTGTTTTGCATGAAACCTTTGGGACTGAATCCTGAGAGCAAAATATTCTTGCTCTTCCCTGAAGTCAAGCACTCTGTTTTCTTCTGCAAGTGATTTTGGGGTGTTGGAAGGGAGGGCTGCTTGTCAGGCCCTGAGAAGGGTTGTCTTAAGACTGGCAATAGGACTTCTTAACCATTTAGGTTCACTATGAAGCAGTCACAGAACTAATTGCTTTTTGTGCATGAACAAAGCTCCTCAAAGTACTAAGTTCAGTTCAGTGTCTGTTCACACTTATGACTTGGGTCTCGGAGCGTGAGTTGGTTTATTGGTGAGCACTGAGCATCTTGGTGGTCTGGTGGGTTTCACGGAACTGTAATTGTTTTGGAAGAGCTGGACTTCTGTAGCAGCGTCATTCTGCTACTAATTCCTGAAAGTCAGTATTTGCTACTAGAGGGGCTTCTAGAAACTCTGACAGAGGAGTTTGAGATTTCCCTTTGAAGCCTATCTAAAGAAACATTGGGGAAAGTCTGATTTTGTTCCCAACTGGTATTCTCTACAGGATACTGCAGTATCTTCACTGGCACTCAGCAGATTATTAAAAAAATAGGCAAGTCTTAAAAATGCATTGGGAGAGCGGGTGGGAGAGACTACAATAAAGTGATTGCAATGAAACAGAATGAGTCTTCATAACATTGCAAAGACTGTTTTGGCTGGAGAATAATACTCCAGGAGAGTCACAATCCCATAGGTTACTATGGGTGTAAGCTCCAGGCTCTGCAGAGTTGTTCTGGGACCAAAATCCAAACTTCCAGATTCTTTACTCCTAATGAAAGGATTTGTTGGCTACTGTTTTTCTAAATAAGATATTTGTTGTTTCCTTAGAATGCACTAGAGAGACGAAAAAATTCAAAGACTCATAGTAGATCCAGTAGCAGTGCTCTGACTGGAGTCCTGTCTGCAAAGCAAGGTATTGCATAAATGCAGCATGGTGTTGCATATCCCATTGAATTCCTTCCATCTTACCTCTTAATTTCAGTCACCCTTTCCTCACCAACCAAACCAAAATCTTTCTTCTCTTTCCTGTTTATTATCATGTGCTAATTTTTGTCCTTTTCTCAGTTGACTCGACAATATAAAATTTGCCTCTTGAGTACTGCTTCTCCTTTTGTTACTCTTTTGCCATTCATTCTCTCCCCTGTCAGTTTTATCAAATTTTTTTTTGATCTCTAAACCCCTCTGCAACTTTGACCCTGAAAAATCACTTCTTTATTCATCTCTTTGCTCTGCTAACAATGGCAATCACAGTTCATATTCCAATGAAAAATAGACTGGGTGGTAGAGGAGGGGCCCTAAGTCAAGTTTTCTGCTCATGTTCTTGGAAGCTTTACATTCAGATGTTTCGCAAGAAATCCTTTTGTCCCATGTTTCTTCATGGGATTGCAAAATGGAGTAATCTCTTTTTGCCCCTTCAAAGAAAATATCAAGATTAGGAAAGAAAGGAGAAGAGAAAATTCTTTGAGCCAAACAAAGAGGCACCCTACTGTTTAGGTGTTGGTGTATTCATACACACACAAGATCAATAGTATTTGTCATGGTAGGTTGAAACTCGCTTTTCTGTTTTTGACTTGTCTTCTGTCCTCTTCTCCATGTACTTGTATACATTTTTTATATATTTTTTATATATATATATATAAAATTAAAGGGGCAGAGCCAGATTCTAGTTACAGAAGTTAGTGATACTAGTGAACCTCCTGATGTGGTTGAGAGGTACAGGCTCTAAGCTGCAGAGGAAGAGTTCATGGGTGACTGTATTTTCACATCAGTCTTAACCTGAAGGATGCAATGATTCTAAAAAGTAATATAAAAGCTTCCTTGTGGGCTTATGTTTTAATGTAAGTGGGAGAGAAATGACCGATTTTTACCAATCTGTAGGTCTGTAGAAGAACGAGTTTGTTTCCTTCTAAATGAAAATAATTTTCCAAAAGCAGAATTAAGTTAACAGAAGATATGTCTGCCTATACTTGTTCTGGCAATTGCTGTGGAATAACGATCAGCTTAGAAAGCCACCATCTTTATGCCAGCTAGAGATTATATTTCTGGTCTTTTGGCTTTGTTTATTAACTGAAGGAAAAAAATAGGTATTCATTTAAGTAATGAGAGTAGTTCTTTAATGCTAAGTAAATGCTTTTGTCACATCTCTGTGCCTGAGAAGCCAAAACTCATTTGTGTTTTTAACATTATAGTCCAAGAGTTGTTGTCGGAGGATCATGGATGTAGCCTACCAGCCACACCACAGTCTATTTCAGATCTCAAATCACTGGCCACTGCATTGTTGGAAACTATCCATGAAAAAAACATGGTCATACAACACCAAAGGCAAACCAACAAGTAGGTAGCATGACTTCTAAGTAAAATAGAACTTACTAAGCAATGGAAAAGTCATAGTTCTGGGGGAGTTTCAGGGAAATGGGAAGAAAGGTGATTTTCACAGAAAATTTATTGTCATTGTTAACTGGTGGGTTCTTTAGTTTTTAAGATCAGGCATGTGTTTAGAGAAAAATTACGTTTTCAAAGTAAAGTCTGGGGTTGACACAGACCTGTCTGCCTCTGCTAGGCAAGGATTGATTTGCTGCTCAGGTTGAAGACAAACCATAGTAACGCTGGGAGGACTTCTAGCAGGTAGTCTGCAGGGAGGGCTAAAGAAAAGCTGCCGGGAGGAAGGACACCCTTGAACTGGAGAAGATATGTGATAATTGGTTGTTAATGTAGGAATTTGCTAATGAATACTGATGGAAATAGTAAATGTTGCACCTAGGAAAGGGTCTGAAAAGATTTAGTGTAACATTTGTCACAGGCTAGTGGCCTATGTGTCATACAAATGATAGCTGTTGCTCCTATAGTTACTTTGCCAAAAGTTGTAGGAGATAAACACAGTTGGATCGCTACTATATGATTTTTTAAAAATCTGAACTGAACTTTCAAGGAGAATTTGTTTACTTTTAGCTGTTCTACTCATCAGTAGAATTCTTTGTGTCTCGCACAGCTCCTATCATGGCAGAATATAATCATTTTTGACACATTTTCTGACATTCTGATATTATTGTCCTTATACAGTGTATGAAAATCAGAGCTAGGAAGTGTTCCTTGATTCTGTGCTCAGTTTTTTTTTTCCTTTTTTTTTTTTTTAAACACTGAGTCACTACTGGTAATCAGAGGTTATTCAGGCTTCTCAAAAGCACATCAGGACCAGATGCCAGAAACAGGCAGACATCTTTCATGAAAGGAAGGAGTAGTACTGAAGTAAACTGTATTGCACTAGAATAGATGATTCGTTTTGAAAATTGATAACTCTGATACTAGGCAGACTCCATTGCATAATTCTTAGTGATGTGGCAACAGAAGTGGAAGAGCAGTTTATAGCCACTCTTAATACTCTTGAGAAAGCAAATGCCTAATCAGCTAAAGGGAGACTAAAGCGGTGAAAATGTAGCCCAGATCTAACTGATAGCAGCTCAGGCAATTCGTGTCTGTAAGTGTGTCATGTAATGCAAGAGGAGTTCCTGCACGGAGCAGTGCTAATGAAGGGCTAACACCTGCTTTCTCTCCCTCCTTAATGCTAATGTAACATCAGAAGGAAAACATCCAGAAAATAACTTTTGTTATTCCAAGTATAACCAACCTTTGCCTTTTACATCCTGATACTGTATCATTACCTGGTGTTCTAGTTTGCATACTCTTGCCTATAACCATAGCAAATGTCTTTCTTAGTTTTGTATCTCTTTGATCACATGCAGTCTCTTGCATCTCTCAAATGTATCATTGCGATGATGCCTTTACTTTCTGATACCACTGTCTCTGCTTTCAACTAATGAGTATGGGCTTTCTTGAGATAAGCCTTCACAAGCAGATATGATTCTTCTATCTGCATGCCCAACTGGCCATATATAGCCACAGGAGTAGAGATTGGATGTGTGCATAAACTAATATTCTGTGCCCAATAGAAGATCAGATCTTAGAGGGAGGTGAAAGTCCACATCTCTTCCAGGTCAGGAGTGTGCTCAGAGCTGTAGTGTTGTGTTCACTTCAGGATGCTTCAGGGGGAAAAAAAAGAAAGACAAATCCTGGGCAAGTTGAGTGAAGAGCCTCAGCAACACTCCTATGTGGTATCCTCATTCTTTTTGTCAACTTTGGCTTTAGTTGGGTTAAAGAAGCTTTTAAGGAGCTAGGATGAATTGGAACTACTTCAAGAAGAAATACCTAAGACACAAAACAGGAAAATGCAGGTAGGACATCAGGGAAAATCATCCTTTATTTGAGGTGCATTAGCTGGTTGTTGGGGGCACTTATTTGCCATGTAAAAAGTTACAAGTAAAGACTGCTGACTTCTGAAAATGGGGAAGAAACTGCCCACCTGTCAGAGAAGGTTAGAGGTGAGAGTGAGGTCAGTGCACAAGTAAAACAGACAGGTCCATAAACTGGTCCTAGCAGAAGATGCATTATTTTGTTGAAGACACTTCTCCATTCAAAGTAGGAAGTTGAGAAGGATGTGGGACTAGAGAGAATTGTAATAATAAAAGCTTTTACATAAATCAGAAGATAGAAGTCTTCTCCTTCACCTCTCTGTCCTGTTTGCCTGGCTTTTCCTGTGCAAAGAGCATGTTTGGAGGATGCGGTTACTCTTTAAGATTGTTGTGTGAAGAAGGTGAGATTCTATTGGGTAAAGAACGTGAGATTTTCCATTCAGGGAAGAAGTTCTGCTTTTGATAATTGATAGATGATTGACCTATTAGTGATTCTATTATCAGTAAATTAGACTTTTCAGACCGTATGAACTTATTTTCCTCCAAACAGTTAACCTACTCTAAAGTCAAAACCTTTTTTGTTGCTTGCAAATTGAGATATGGCTATATAAGTTTACAACAGCAGAATGGTAGATTTGCTTTCCGATTAACTGAAGCGGAAACAAGACAGTGGGGTTTTTTACATAGATTAGAATTTGAATGTGCTGTTGAAGTTGACTTTCTGCTGTTATACCGTTGTTGAAAACATCCGTTGCCACTTGCTCTTGGAACAGACACACTATTATTATTGCCGCTTTTCTAAATATGTGGCATGATAAAAGGAGCTGTGGGAGTATGTGCCTAGGAACAACTGGGCTAAATCCAGCCTTTAATTTTTTTAGCCCCACTTTTAAGAAAAAAAGAAGTTGTTTGGGAAGAAAACAGGTCATTTTCCCCAGGTGATTGGTAGCTACTACTGCTAAGTTTAAGTAACATCCTATGTTTTTCCTCACAAGCACATTAGCTTAATTTGAAAAGGCAGCTGTAAATGAATTCTGTATGCAGTAATGTGTTGCAAAATTAAATAGTTACATAAATGCAAAAATAAACAGTCCTAACCCTGCCTAGCAAGTGGATAAAATCTTTTTTTCTTCTACCAGCAATAAACTGTTTATTAGATGTTCTTTTTAGTGCAATTTGTTCCTGAAATTGCCAGCACCCATGCAAGCCAGATCAGTGTGGAAGGTGCTCTGCTGCTTAGACATGTTGCACTGATTTTAACATTTCTAACTTGGGCAAGCTCGGTCATGACCAGAATTACGAAAAGGATTGTGTCAGTCTGTAACTGAGTAAATGTTTTCATATGATATATAGAACTAGATATATGACTGTGACAGACCCTATTTACAGACATTTGGGTGATTGTATCTGTATGAGGGTATATGACTTCTGTAGCAAGATCTAAATTGAAAGTGAGGTGAATGGAGCTCAGGTGCTGTAAATCAGCACGGCTCCCTTCAGATTATGGCCATGTGTGTTGGGAAGCATGGGAGAGCTAGAAGGGAGCTTCGAATTCAGGTGGGAGCAACCTTATCCTGGAGGGAGGTTTAGACTAACTCCCTTGTTGCATTAGACACATGACCAGAGGACAACAGAAATAGCTATCGGCACCTTTGTCCATGACATGATCCTTCTGTTTTAGTTGAAGGATCTGGTCCACTATGGCTAGAGATAAAAAAATAGATTAGGGAATTTGATGCTACCAACCCATGCAGCCCCTTTAAAAATACCTACTGTTCCAGGCCACCACAGCTCAGTCTTCCCACAGCAGATATGGAGGTGGCAAATTATCTGGAGGTCACAGGGGAAAGGAAAGAATGGGATAAACCACTCTGTGTTCAGGATTGCTTACACAGTTATTGTTCAAAAGATGCTTTTATAAGAACTCGCAGCTTTATGAAGGGTTCATTTCTCCCATACCTGTCTTCAGATAATGTGGTTTGGAGCAAACTAGAATCATACTCATCACTGAATGTATTTTGCTCTCGTCCTGAATGAAAGCAGCAGGGTTAAGTATTGTCCTCTCTTTTTGCCAACCATTGTTCAGAGCTGCAGAATGATCCTTCTATGTGAGAACCCGCAACAAAGGTTAAAAAATAGCTCAACGCCTCTTCTGAGGATCCAGTAGGAATTACCAGGATATATTTGCTCCAAAACCTTTAGAAATAGTGTGGTACAGCTGATAAATGAATTATAAAGTTTAAGAGAAGCAAGACAAAAGTGACTTTGCTATTGCTGTCTGAATAAAAAGAGCAGTAGCAATAAGTGAGCTTGATGCAGAAGGTTGAGTTTCCTTCTGTGGTACAGCTAGCTGACAGGGAGGGCAGTATCTTTCCCCCCTTTTCTGCCCTGGAACTACTGGTGAACTACTTACGAAAATAATAAGTGTTTTTTCTTGTCCTGGCAGAAGTGCTAAACTTGTCACCCATTTGTGGTGACAATCATTAGCTACATCAATTTTGTTTTGTCGGCTCCCTGGCTGACCTAACATGACGTGGAAGAAGTCTTGCATCATCTCTGTTCCCTGCCCCTCTAAGCCAGGGGAACTTCGCGTCCTTCAGCTGACCTTTGCTGGGGCCTTAGACCGGGAGATGGGGAGTGGGCTCCCCGTGTGCAAGGTAGAGCTTCTTGCAAGTTGCTCTGTGCCTTTCTCTGTCACCTGTTGCTTTGTACTGCAGAGCGCAGTTGCTGGATGTTGGGCCATACACTGGGATATGAAAATGGAGTTATTAAGGCTGAGTCTCTCATACCAGATGGAAGCATTCTGAAAGCAAAATCTAGACTTGAGCAACTTTGACTGTAATTGGAGAAGACAGTAACAGATCCATCATAACCTTGGTAACCTATTTGATTACTGAGTTTTGATGGGGAAATAAACATAACTGCTCCCAAATGTCTTCTCTCGTCTGTTTGTAAATGTGATGGACTGTTTGCTTTTCAGTTGATATACACCCCTGTACCTCTCGGTGCTCTCTTTGATATTTATTATAAGCTTTCTCTTTCTCTTTTACATTCTCTCTCTCATCTTGATATTTTTGTAATCTTTAAAATACTTACAGACTTTTATTCTGTCACTGCAAAGCCCTCACAGTAGAGATTTCAAAAATACTTAGTCCTTGTTAATAATTTTTTCTAGCCCCTTTGATATTTGCTGGGTTTGCTATTCTTCATGTCCTTCCCTGATTCTGCCATCTTGTCAGTAATGACGTTCCCAGTATGCTCAAATGTCTGCAGCATAAAACCCTCGGTGGGGAGCACGCAGTGCAGTATTACACAGCTCTGGTGAGCAGGAGAAGATACTATTGCCTTGCTGTGTTGTGAAATGCTGCTTCTCATCATTCAGTTCAAATTTAACTGACTTATCCCATTGCTGTAATTTGATGAGTAAAACTTGGTGTCCATTACCTCTGTTGTCATTTTAGAACTGCTGCCTTGTCTAGGTTTCTCACTCTATTGAGTGTTGTTTGGGATTTATTTAAAGACTTTTAACTCTAGGAGACTTGCTGTGCCTGTGAGAGAAACACTTCCAAAAGTTCATTGGAAGGAAGAGCTCTCTTTGCAAGATAGAAATCTCTCATTTGATCTTGGGAGAGAATTAAGACTAAAAGTTAAATCCTGCAGGAAAGCTAACTGTAGATAGTATTTGTGTAGGAATAAGATACAAAAGAAGAGATGACCCAAGAAATGCAGTGAAAACTAAGAGTAGGTGATAAAGGCACTAAAGAGCTTGAAGCTTTTCAGCAAAGTAGAAAACAGAGTTCAGCACTAAAAGAAAAGATGTGGTAGAAAAGATATTCCTTGCCATTTTAAGCAATCTTAGTGATGGAGAATCCTCTGTGAATAAAGGACTAGGCCAAAATTGTATCTTAGAACTTCAAAATCAATCTAGATGTTGTCCTGAGTTTTCCATATTTTGTCTGCATAGCTTTTACCTTCTGGTTTTAGCTGTAGAGAAAGTAAAAGTAACCGGGAAAAGATATTTGCAGGCAAGGAAATAGAAATATTGTGAGTTGCTATTCTTTGTCTGTACCGAAGGGCAAAGGTTGAATTTCCAGTACATCCTAGACTTTTTTTTTTTTTTTAAACCATGGTACAGATTAGACAACTATATTTCATTTTCTTTTAACTCTAGGGGAGGTTTTCCATTGCCATTAGTGAAAAGAGATGACTGTATACAGGTTTACTGCACTAGTTAAGTAACAAGTTAAAAATTCAGCTGTAGTCATCTAAGCAATTGGGCTTTGGTTACCTTAGTATAACAAGGAATCTCATCTCAGCTGACTATCCCTGGCTTTTGTTTTTGTTTTTCTGAAGAATTCTAGGTAATCGAGTGGCAGAACTAGAAAAGAAATTAAGAACTTTGGAAATTGCTGGCTTGTGGAGTCTTCCAGGTTAGTAAAAATTCAAGAGGACAGCTTGCGTTGTTTAGTTTTTGAGGGAAAATCTGCATTTAAGAAAAGCTTGGCTATAATTTTTTTAATGACAGTTATTTTGCGAATGTGCAGTTTAGCACATTCGCAAAATTAGAAACCTCTAATAAATATTAAGTTGAAACCAAAAATCACTAGACTCTTTAAACTCTTAAGTCAAATATGTATACTGAAAAAAAAAAAGTTTTAAATACTGGAAATAATCAAATTGTCTCCATAGTCCACAGGCAAAAAAAATGGAACCATTTTATTTAAACAGTTGTATAAAATGATACACAGGATATTGGCCATTATGTTTTTCAACAAATTTTATTTATTAATTTTGTACTTCTTGTAACTTCCATGGATTTTATCGCTGTATTTTTAATGTTTTTCTGTAGAATCATAAACTTTGAGAAATTGGAAATGTAAATGATCTTAAATTTTCTAGTCCATCTCTCCAGAACAGGTTTATTCCCTGTAGCATCTTAAGTAGTGTATTTGGTTTTGAATTACTCAAGTAATGGGAGATTAATCTGCTTCCTAATATACCTCGCTGTTAGGAAAATGTGCAATATTTAATTTACATTTACTTTTTGCTTCTTTTCTTCCCATTACACCTAATTGTGTCTTCTTTAACCACTGTAAATTATGCTACTCCATTGTTGGCGTTTGCATCATTAGGCTTTGTTGTTTACAGCTTCCTATCAGTGCTACTGCGGGTGGGAGATAGCGTGGTTTAGGCTTCTATTTTTTTGGCTCTGTGTTTTTTCCACCTAACCTTTCCATCTAGAAGAAAACATTTAACAAAGCTGAAGAGACCTTCTGACAAACCTATGCTGTTCAACTGTGTGGCCCGGTGTGGTGTATTTCCACTTTAGCTTGCCCGTTGTAGGCATTCTCAATTGCCTTCCTGGAACTGGCTCTCTCATTGATGCTTTCCAGAACTGAAGGTCCCAAATTGGTTTCTATGGATTACTCTTCAGTTAGTCACCTAACATAGTGCATTTGTCCCTCCGTACATTCTCCAAAAGATGCAGGTGAAATATTTGTCTAAGACCCTCCTAATGTGGTTTTGTACATTAGTACAAATGTGTATCACAAACTCACCAGTTTAAGGTACTGTAGGTTTTTTTCCAAAAACAGTGTTCCATTAATAAATGCAGCATTTCTAATATTTGCAAAATGTATTAAAAAAAATCGAACAGTGGGAACTTCTTGCACTATTGTTGGTCTATGTAGGTAAGACATCAAATTAATGTTTATACAATAACAACTGTCTCTTTCCTTCCTTTCTTTTGCTGCCTGAAGGCCTGAGCTACAATGTCTCAGTGGGATTTGGGAGTAGGTTCTGCTTGACATATATTTTTAGTAACTGATTTTAGCAGTACGTTAAATATTGTCACTGCATGTAAATAAACGGAAATGTTATCTGAACATTTTTATATCTGACAGATTAAGATGTTCAGTCAAGTGAGTTGGATGACCACAGGAGAAATAGAGACTGCTCTACAAGACAATTCCTTTAAATTGAGGAAAATAGTAAGAAAGGATGATCTTAAATAGTTGTAAAGGAATTTTACACTGGATTGCGAGTTCTGTTGAGCCCCAAGGTTTGTTGATTTGCTGCTTGCCTTTTAAATAAAGAGTGCACTTTTGTTTCCAAGTGCACTCTAGTCCCAAGGTGGTCAGAAAGAGCCTTCCAACACCTGGTGGGTCACCAATTTTCTTTTCAGAGCGTGGAGAGCTTCCGCTCCATAAAACAGCAGCGTGTAACAAATAGTGTGGGAACTACCACAGTGGACTCTGCAGCTGAATGTTGGCTAGGGTGAGGGGCAGAACATGGAGAGTATCTCATCTAGTCAGTCTTAAATCCAGAGAGAAAAAATTATTATTTGGTTGTGAGTTGAACTTTTTGTCATTGGAAAAAATACGCAGATAAAAGCTGATGTTCAGTCTAGCACTGAAAGAAACACACATTATAAATTGCAGGTTTTTAATCTGAAGTTAATGTTCCTACTTAGGCATCATTGTCCATATAACATTTATAACATCCGCTGTCACCATGATGTTAATATCTTCCAAATGGTGTTAATAAATGATGTTAATAAACTTTATCCTATTGAAGAAAGAGCTTGACCTCTTTTAGATTTTTGTTAGGTGACATATTTGTCATCTGCTTTTTGAGCAATGCATGAATGAACTGTGGGGAAGCTAAATCAAGAGGAAGTGCATATTTAATTTTTGAAATGGTGAAACTGGTAGCATAGTTCATTTTCTGTAGAAGTTCTGCCTACCACAAACTTTAGCTTCTCCTGTTTGGAAAATGGGCTTTAATTAAAGAAACCTCTTGAGAGGTTCATTGCTGAAAAGAAAGCAAGCTGGGGCATAGATTTGGCTCTGATTTTCTTTTTATGAGCCTACTTGCCTTGAGAAGGAAGCAGAGAATGTGATGTTTGCAGAAGCATTTAATTCTTTGGTTTGTCTTAGGTACATTGTGGTTCAAATATGCATGCATAATATGTTAAGTGTATTCAGTAATAGTACATAGTGAACACCATCTTATTCCTCTCACAATTTGATGTCACTAGACATTCAGATAAGTAATTCTGTAGTTTTAAAAATCTATCACTTCCTGAAAATTCCCGATTTCCACTGAAAAAAAGCCTAAGAAAAGAGCCGACCATGACTCAGCCTTTTCCTGTCTGGGATGATAAGAAAGTTTCAGCGCTGCCTCTTGCTCTGCAGTAGTCAGCGTGGAGCAGAGGCAAGGTAGAATTAAAGGGCTCAGCAGCTGCTGTGGGTATAGCCAGTTACAGCAGTGTAGTGTGCAGCAGAGGTTATAAGAGGACACCCAAACCTGGAGAAGAAAATGAGGAATTTACTACTACTGAAAACTTATTTGTCTGCTTATTTTGAGATCTGTATACTTTTCACTGAAGTCCTTGAAAAATTCCTTAAATAGAGAAACACAAAGCTATATAAATTATGAAATTGAGCTTATACAGCAGCTAATTTAAATTCCCTGTGTGTAATCCAACTTCAGATCATGATTCACAGAATACAGTGCAGCAATACCCCCATGTCCCTCCTTCATGAATGGATGTGAGTCACTGTTAATAAATAAATATGCATTGGACTCTTTGGGCCACATCTGTTGCTTAGATGTGTGGATACTAAGCTTAGCTTTATTTTCTGTAACCAAGTTGGTTTTCAGAGAAAAATGTGAAAGTAGATGTGTTTAGTGTGTAAATGCTGGCTGGAAGTCAAGAAGTTTATTTTCTGAAGCTTGTCTTGCACTCTGCAGGGACTTTAGCTCAGGCTTTACTTTTTTGTCTTCAAAAAAAGAAAAAGACTCTGCTTTCTACTTTCCTGTTAAAGCCCACACACAATTTTTTTATTCATCATCTTTTTTAATTTGACTTCTTCTGTTGGATTCTTTTGAATCTTTTTGGATATGCAGCTACCTTTGACTGTGTATGAATATCTATTGGATGTTTTCCTACCATTAGTTCCCTGTATGATTTAGTTCTTCTTCCAGCATAAAATTCCTTCACTGTTACAGGAAGGTGCATTCGTCTAGGGGCTTTTGCATTTTGAAATAGCCATCAGATTTGTTTTGCCCTTTTTTTTTTCTCATTTTAATTAATTTTGTCTTACACTGGGGGGGTTCTCCACTTTTCTGTTAGTTAATATTATTTTTTATTACTTGCTATGGTGAAGGCAGAATTCTGATGCATACTTGACAGGGGGATCAAAGCTTGACAAGATCCGTGTTTCAAAAGCATTAATTGCATTCATATTGCTGCGGTATATACCCCAAGATGTTAAGGATCTAAAAACGTCATTAATACCTTCAGGATCAAGGTATTTACAGCCAGTGCTTTCAAAAGTAGTTAGGGATTGGGGTAGTCCAGTCAGACTCCATGAGAACAGCTTGACTTTCATTATATCTTAGTAGGTACCAGAACTTTCTCAGAGCTGGATTTATTCTGGGTATCTCCTGACCTGGTGCTCTTTTGAGAGTCTTTGTCTTGGATGGGTGATTAGATTTAGGATGTGGCCTTAAGGTGAAACGTGCAAACAGACTTAGAGGGGAGAAGTGGTTGTTACATAAATGTCTGTTCTTCTGGAGATAGATAGATAGAGCAGTAGCTTGCCGCCCCCCCAGCCATTACTTTTCGATTGGCAGTTGTTCTGGAGGCCACACAAACACCACACTTAGCTGATCTTGCACATTTCCTGCCATTTCCCCTCTAGGTTTAAGGTAGCGTCAGTCACTAAAAACATGAGCATCCTGAATAGTGGAGGACTTCCTAAAGGATCTGCAGGTGTTGCTTTCTGTATTGCTAAAATATGTAAAGACTAGGCATCTACAGCAGAGTCCTCAGCTGAAGAGTTTCTTGCACTATTTTGTCTGCAAAAGAGCTGGAAAATTGCCCTTTTCCATTTGGCTTAAAATGAAAATGCTCAGCAATGTTTTTGGAATTTTCAGATTAAAATCCCTCCTGTTCCCCGGCAATGTATGCTTGTTTGCTCCCTCAGTTCTTAGTTACGCTAAGCTTTTAATATTTTTTTTAAGGGAGCATTGTAGGATAGTATGTGTGTGAGTCTGTAGTGTAAAACTACGTGTGATACGAGCAGGTTCATCATTGAGGCAGAGTGATAGAGAGTACAGAATCAGTGCTGAACACTTGCTGGTAATAGCATGCAAATGATCTATTACTCTCTAAAACTTTTGGTATGATCTGATTATTAATATTCTGAATTGAATGCTAATTAGTAATACAATTTGCTGCACACAGCACCTGGTCTTCTTTCAAAATCTGTCCTTTACTCAGTACTGCGGGTAAAAACATCCGCCTTTTCTGTACTTGACTTGCATATTTCAGCTCCAGTACAGAGTATTTTTTTCCATGCTGTAGAAGGATCATTTGAGATGCTTCTCCCGTTCTGTACTTTTCAATAACATTGCAAAAAAATTGTAGGATATGTTTGAGTATCGTTAGTGCACAATGGATGTAATTGGTGAATTAATAGTTCTAACACTCTGATTGTTCCAGGTGGAAAGGATACCATAACATTCAGTGACCCAACCTTGCCTGTTATACAGCAGTCCAGGTCACCGTTGTTAGCGTTTACTGATAAGCCACAGAAAACTGAAGTACAAGGTGAGCTCCTGGAACGTAAGGAACATGATGAGAGCTGAGCACTCATTTCTTTCCAAATAAAAAGTAATAAATTTTCATGCTGGGATAGCAGAAGGCAAAGTTTCAGTGGTCACAGAGATTGAATAAATCATCCACAAGTAAAACGGGTAGATGGTCCCAGTACAAATAGCAAAGAAATGACTGAAAAATGACTGTTGAATAGATTGCACAGGGCTAGGGATCAGGTCTTATACCTCAAAGAATTTTCCTGCCAGATAACTTGATACTGTGAGAAGTTATTCATGCCATCTATGTTACAGTTAACTGCCTCCTGCTCTTTTTCCCTCAGTTAAAATGCACAGTAGGAAAGCAGTCTGTGGAACTGGCTTAGCACTTTCCTGCATTATAGCTGATATCTAGATGAAAGGCTTCCTGATTGCGCCCGGTAAATTGAAATACTGGACTCGTTTTCCCAGAGAAATTGACTGCTTTTTTTGTAGTCTTGCATGTGTTTTCTTAAAAATCCTTCCCCAGTAGCAAGCTTTAACATCTCTCCAAAGTCAAGCTTAACTTCATTTGACAGTAGCAGACGATAGTGTTTTGCTGATAACCTTGATTCCCCACCCCCCCTTCCCCCGCCTTAGTTTTTCATAATGGATGGGAGATGGATTATTATGCTTGCCTATTGGCATTTGGATAAGCTCTGTAATGGGCATAACATTTTGGTATGCCCAGATCTTACTCAGCTAACCATGAAGCATCATAAAGAATGTATTTGTTAGTCCTGAAACTAAATAGATTGTGGCTTAATTTTGACTTTAGTATCCATGTCATCATCTGATAAAACTTGACAGCCAGTCTGATGGTTTTTTATAATCTTGATCAGCTGATATTTTTGCTAAAAATAAGAAGTGAAACTATAGTGAATAGTTCTCTGGTGAGTAATAACAACTCATAAATATTCATTTTTTGCCTGCTTAATCATTGATTTTTAATTAAATCTGCAGTTACTGAAAGTATTTACTTGGTGACATTATGCTCTTTCCTTTACGTATTTGTCCTAGGTGAGGTTGGTATTACAGTTTTGATTAAAGCTGCCTGTCAAATCTCATCAGACCCTGTTTCTGTTGCTTTGTAACACTGCCAAACTGTAGCTCTGGGCTGAAGCTTTCCATGCTGTGTTTTCTACTTCAGCTGATTTTTTTAATGTCAGCCAAATCACTTTTTTGTGTTAAATTCTGATGACCATGTGTTTTTTGTTTTTTTTTTTCTTTGTCTGTTTGTTTGGTTTTTTTAACATGCAAGCATTTAGTATATCTATAATTGAAAGGAATTTGAAATCTGGGGAAAAGGTTTCTGCCCTGAGAAAACGGGCTGGAGTTTCCACCCCATTCTAAACCATGCACTTTCAAATCTCATCTGCTAAAAACAATGAAAACCAAACCAATGATTCTGCTGAGTTTGCTTCATGCCACCAACGCTGATAAAACTCTGCATTCACCATTCCTTCAAGATAATGTAAACCTAGAGGGAAAAAAACCTGGAGCGGAGAGGAAAGGAAGGCTGAGATCAGGACTCTCAAGTGATGGGAAGGCTAGAGTAGATGGGGATTGACAGAGTCAAAGGAAGTCTGAGTGAGGAGGGACTTGTATCTGACTGAGCAGAGGTCAGAGCACAGGAGCGAGGAATCAAAATGCTGACAGTGAAAGCAAGGTGTGATAAAAAAGATTGAAAGGTGGATGAGAAATGGGCAGAGTGAGTGTAGGGACTGGATAAACAAAGGGATATAGGGCAGGAGCAAAGAGCTAGGCAGGGGAAGAGAAGAATAGAATAAAACAGCCCTGGAGAGGAGAAGGCAGACAAGGATTAGGCCTGTGGAAGTCATGGGAAGAATCTGCTCCCAGCAGGTCGTCACCCTCTTTCCCCTTCCCCATCCTATAACCGTAGGAGAGCCAAGATCAATCACAGAAATTCTGTCATTAAACTGGAGTAGGTTAAGAAATTTCTGCCTGCACAAAGTTTGGGGTTTTTTTCCCTTGCATGTGGCTCAGTATACCTGATAACCTGCAGTGAGAACTCAGACAAAAGTCGCCTCTGTGATAGTTTAAATAAACTGGGCCAACTTTTCAGTGACACAGATGAGCACATACATACTACCAGCTGTGCGGGGGATGCCATAGCTTCTAGCAGTAGGTGGAGCAACAATAACATTTTCCGTTGCTCCAGATCCTTTTTCTGGAGGATGTTTGGGGCTGCCCTCTTCCCTTCAAAGCCTGGAAAGGAAGCAGTGTGTTTTCAACAGTAGGGCATGTCCCTGTGCTTGGAGTCACACAGCTCCTCTGCAGTCAGCAGCTATATGGGAGTGATACACTGAGTCACCTTTTGTGCCACTCTGCATAGAGAATGACTCTCTGTTGTTGAGTTTTAGGAGTTTGGTGCATATTGCAATCTTTCATCTATACAGTGTACCTCCAAAATCTGGGAGAGCTTGGCAGCTGAGAAGAACAGGAATGTGTTCATCTGCCTTCATTTACCAAGGAAGTATGCCCTTGGTTTAAAAGTATTCCAGAAATAAAAACAAAACCACTTCTATTTTCCTCTTAGTTGAATGATCAGTTGAGTGAAAACAGTTGATAAGCAGAATAGCAATGAAGTTCTGAAATACTAGGCCTGATGTCACATTGGTCAGCTATGGTCCTTTAAATAGTACCATTGCTGTTTGGTGCCCGTTTGGCCCAGGAAACATTTTTAGCTTTTGCACTAACATACATTCTTTATCAGAACTTTCTATAATACATCAAATGTTGCTCCAGCTAGATCTACGGGTACTCAGAGGGCTTTTTCAGGCTTTTTTTATCTACTCTATCTGCTTACCCTGATCTCATCAAGGCCTGTTTTAGCGTGTACTTGTTATCATTGTCTCAGTAAAGCTGGATGGTAGACGTCTGTAGGATATACTATGCAGTTCCTGTATGAAAATGCATAATGACATAGTACAATCATATGAATTAAAGACTCTCTTGTGCCACCAAATCTCACTTTATCCAATGCACAGGATGGATAGTGTCGTGGGATGGATTGTACTTCAGCATCACAGCTACTAATGAACAGCTATTCAGGTTTTTTTCCTCTTCGTGGTTGTGTGTATTGTTCCTGCTGTATTGCTTGTGCGCTATTTCAAGCATTCCCTGAAGAGAAAAGTACTGTTTTTCTATGAACTTTTCTCTGGTGTTCTACTGCTTTGAAACAATTTATCTTCAGAAAATTGCAGCAAGATGATGGGATGGTGTTATCCCACTGTAGAGGGAGGAAACTGAGGCACGCAAAGAATAAGGTAGAGTCCCTGCTAATTTTGAGTGCCAACTTGAGGTACGTAAGTTTTGGCTCTTCTTGGAGCCCTTTGAGTATGTGTGTTCAGATACACAACACGAGCAGAGCAGTACTGCAAATCAAGCTCCTAGGTTTCCAGCTGAGTGCTCAGATAATGAGGATTAGATCCAGTGGGTGATCACCTTTTGAAAGTTAATTTATGCCTGCCTTTTCCACAGACTTAAATTCCAGCTCTTCAGAGTAGCATTCCTAGCTTCCTTAGTGGGAGCAAGAGTGTCTGTTCCCTTCATGCCAACCCTTGTCTCTCACTCAGCAGCTCCCAAATTATAAATGAGGCGGGTCTGATGGAGACTATAGGCTCCTGCATTGTGTAGTTCTGATCCCTCCCTGCAGCCAGGCTGTCCTGTGCAGTGCGTGAGGCAGGATTCCTGTGGGAGAAATAGAGTAAATGCTCATATACTAAAAGGTAATGCATACGCACGACAAGAGCCATTTTAAGCTGTCAGTGCAGTGGTACTTCTGGCATTTCCTAATTTTTCTTACTTGACTTCGCAAGCTTATTTTCAATGAGGCTTTTTGTCCTTAACTGAGATGAGGACAAATTCTCTTTCACAAAGCTGTTTGTTTACACATTGCTGTTTTCTCTATTCTGACATTTTGTTCAGTGTTTGCCTTTTGGTATAATGGTATATTTAAAATTCTTCCACTGCTGCTTTGTTTTATGCTGTTACCCGAATTAGAATAATCTTTTATGTTAGGAGAAATATTGCAGGACCAATCACGAAACTTCATTATTGGATGAAAGCCTGTGAAAAGCTCCAAATAAATGGAGCTTGTGTTAACCCCTGAAAGTGGTAGTGATGTGGGGATTAATGTTAAGCTGTGCCAAAACTTTCTGAGGCTGAGTGCCTTGCTTAGAGTTGATATTCCTTTGAAAAAGTTTGCCTGACCCTGCTGTTCTACAGTATGGTATCGACTATGACTCTTTTAGAGTTGTCGGTGT